TGGTTAAACGTTTGTTTAAAGAACTTTGGTTATTTAAAAACCTTATTGTTGGTTGTAGATGGTTATTTTTATAGGTGGTTATTTAATAGTGGGATTGTCAAATAAACGTTGTTAAATAATAAATGTTACTGTTCATTATATATTTTTTGTTGTTCTCCTTTAGTAATAAAGAAGTAGATAGTTCTATACCCGCGCGTTGTGGCGGGGAATTCTTTGATAAATTTTCTTTTATTAAAAAGAGATACAACTTAACATAAATGTAACTATTTATTAAAGAAGGATACAATACACCCGTTTTTCATGTGGTATTCTTTTTATTAAAAATGTTTTCTTATAGTCATGAGAACTTGAATTATGCTTTAACTTTCTAAAACATACCGTTGAATTATATTAAATTTATTGAACATATAATATACTTAAATGCTAAAACTAATTTAATAAACATATTCATATTATTTTTTTAATTCTTTTTCTACAGTCATATTAATTTGCATCCTCTCAAATGTAATTGTACAAGTAATTACACACTTTATATCACTTTGTTTGTATTGAATGGAAGTAGAATTTGAAATGAAAATACAAACTAAGAAAGTAAAGGCAATAAAATTGTGCACAGCTCTTTGGCAAGTAGCTAATTAGTTGGATACGTGCACAAACGATTTAATTAGGGAATCTGTAAACCTAAATACAGATTGGAATTATTTTCATGGATTATATACACCTCCATCACCTACGTTCTATTTCATTAGCACATATATTTTTCTAGTTTCGTGATAGCACATCCCATAATTAATTTTTAAATTTTAGTAGGAAGCACATGAAAATAGATTAATTAGAATTAGAAATTTATGCAAAAATAACTAAATCATATGAGACAAAAGATCATACATATTATTAGTAAAATAACACTACCACATATTTGCTCTAATGTAACAGTTCTAACGCAACGCTTATGACCGTTGCGCTAGGTGTCTATGGGGACGGTTTTGCAACGCTTTTAATCGCGACCAAAGACTTAAGACAACGGTTTACAAAAACCGCTTCGCTAGGCCCAATATGCTTTGGGCGGATTTTATAGGCTGGTTTGGGCTTAACTAAATATGTTATCGCTTAAACTAAATCTCCCTCCCTCCCTCTCTCTCAAATCGTCACCCATTTCTAAAATCTCTACCCTCTTTCTAATATCCGCTCCCAAAAGATCGCCATGGCCGAAATCATCTCTAGTTGTCGATCTCATCGCTGAGCTCGTCGCCAATCTCTTCGCCGTTTTCCGATCTCATCTTCTCCGATCTCAACTCTGATTTCGTCGTCGAGCTCGTAGCTAATCTCGTCGTCGAGCTGCTGGTCTCGTCTCCGATCTCATCTTCGATATCGTCTTCGAGCTCGAAGCTAATCCCCAATCTGGTCTCCAATCTTGTTCGTGTGTTCTTCCTCATCGGTCTCATCGCTATCACTCTCCTTTCGACGCCCTTTCTTCCTCTGATAAAAATCCCCGCTTCTTTTGCCCTAACCCTTGAAAAAACTCTAATCACTGATTCAGCTCAAAAATATAAATCAATTAATTAAAAAAACTACGAAATCCTTTTTCTTCAATCCAATCGATGAAGAAGTACGGAATCCAACTTCGGATTCCTCCGGGGCACCAGAAGCAGAAGTTGTCGAAGCCCCCCTGTTGCTCCTCCTCCGGCCTTCGCTTTCAAAGACGACGATGAAGACGACGTTGAGAGGGAGATCTCTCGCCAAGCGGCCAAGACCAGAGCTCTTCAAAAGGTAATTTACTGGGGGGGGGGGGTGTTACCAGCTTTAGAGTGAAGCTACATGGGAATTACGTAGCAAAAAATGCAATTTTCGAATGAAATAACAACCAATCTTCAACTACATTTTTGCAGGATGGCAAACGAAAAAGACAAACAATGTCATACTATACACGCTGCCTTTAAACAAATTTGTATCTAACATATGTTACAGACAAAATTTATGAACACCATAAGAATAAAAACCATACCTCTTTATATGGCATCATGATCATCAATTCCCAGGTTGCATTTTAGAATGTTGGAGGAATAGAAGTTTTCTGAGACCATCTCGTCCACAAAAATATTTCTAAGACAACTCCCGTAAGTAAAAGAACAGAAAGGTTGATGCCATAACCAATTTTCCAAGAAGTTCCTGCAGCGCCAACATGGATCCCGAGGTAAATGTTGACTACTGAGAGTAAGAGAGTGAGTCTCCCAACTCCATGATGGTACCAATTCCAGAGTCTACGGAATTTTGAATCAGGTGACATGCATACATGTTTTCTGCTAGAATTGCTGTTTCATGTTCTGAGCTAATTGCTGTTTTCTGATAGAGATTAATAAAGAAGAATCAAGAGGTGGAGATCAAGATGAAACAGACAGTGGAAATCAAGATGAATCAGATTGGGATTGGATGGAGGATACTCCTTAATTTGTCTTCAATACTTTGTACTTGTGTCAAGATTGGAATTAGATGTGTTGCTTATTTTTGAACTATGCAGGTGTTCTCATTGTGCTTGGGTTGGGAACTATGATGTTGTGAAAGCAAGATAAACAATGACAATTAATTTGTGATTCATCATAATGTAGGTCATGTTTACATTGATTGTTTATATTCATTAGTAAATGTACAGATTGTTTATGTACTCTGGTAATGCCTTACTATCTATTTCTATGCAGATACCCTGGTACGCCAGGCAGCAATGGTTGTCAAGTGTATGCTGCTGATGTACTACAAGAACAGTAGGGGCAGGAACTATCGTAAGCAGGTAGTTCGCTGTTCTACATTTCTATATTTGTCTAAGTGTCACCTACATCAGAAATAAGGCAATATTAAATCTTAGTAAGTGCTAAATATGATATAATGGAGCAGATAACCTTGAGGATTTCTGCTTGTTCATAAACCTAATGAGGGAACTAGTGCCTTTTTTAATTATTTATTGTATTCATTTTATGGTGCTTCCTTGTGTATTCAGTAACTTTAATTCCTTGAGCTGCCTTCATTTGATTAAGGATTTTTCTCATTTGCAAGGACTTCTTGCTTTCCAACAAAAGTTGTCAAGTGACATAATTATGTGGTATATCCAGTTAGGACTTCGATTTGCATGTTCCCATATTATCATATTTATTTTAAATTTCATATTCATTGAAAAACTTCAATAGATTTTCTTTTGAAGTTATTAATGTTGCATTTAAATAATACCTTCAATAGATTTTGGAGGGGAAAAAATTTCCTGACTTAATCTTGTTACGTAATTGTGGATGGCTATCAATAGGTTCAGTTCTTAATCTTATTTTAAGCTTTTGGATTCCAGGTTCAGTCGTTCCTTGCAGCATTGAAGGCATTGTCACGTAAAGAGGTGAACTATGGGTCACATGCCACAACAGAGCAGGTAAAATGTTCCTTCTGATTCCGTAGTTTAAAGTATGTAACACGCACTCTGTGTTTGTTTGTGTGCACGCACGCACATACAGTGTGTGTGTACATGCATTGCACGCATGTGCCGTTAATGGATTTGTTGATGTTCTGAATTGTAGTGGTCTGGATATGTGTCATGTGAACAACACACTAGCCAACACAGACTTAACCGTTCTCTAGACATGCACGTGGTATGGAATCTATGAATATTTTGAGACCATTGAAAATGGATTGTCATGGTATGGAATCTATGAATATTTTGAGATCTCTTGTTTGAGCTTGTGAGTTAAATGGCGAGTGCAACTTTGTTAAGTGCTTTACCTTCTCTTGAGTATAAGAATTTGTTGAGGACTTAAACTGTTCCTTTGGGTAACTTCAAAGTTTGTGTATGTGTCAGGTTTATGTCCCTTGAGCTGCTTTATGCACTTGTAGAACCTCATTTATCGTTCTTCTCTTGGTGCATGTATTCATAAGTTACTCTTTATTTGAAACTGGTTGACATGGTTCCAGAAAACTTTGTTAGCTACTTTCACTGTTTTGCTATCTAAAATATCCATTTGATTTCTTTTCTTTTATTTTTCTATTTGATCAGATTGTGTGGCACTAGGAAAGAGGGGGCCGATAAAAGAGCATCTATCTATCTGAACTATAGCTCTAGCTGCTTCGTGGATATCATCAATGCATAATTCTGCTGCTAGCAAAGAATCATCATAGGATTTATTGGATTGGGTCACTGACTATATTAGAAGATGTTGCTTCTGAGTTGATTGCGCGTTGATTTTAAGTGGTAGTATTCCCACAAGTATTGGCCAAATTCAGAGTCTACAAGAAGTGTATTTATCTGGAAACAAGTTGTCAGGTACTATTCCATCATCTCTTGGTAACTTGACTCAACTGAATAAACTTCTTATAGGAGAGAATGCCTTGGAAGGAAGTATTCCTCCCATACTTGGAAATTGTCAGGCTCTGCGACTGCTTAACCTTTCATACAATCAGATTACAGGTACCATTCCTAAAGAAATCATTAGTATTTCGTCGTTCACTGAATTTGTCAACTTGACTCACAAACAGATTACTGGATGTTAGGAAGGTTTGTGCTCTTCTGCGCCCGATGCGGTTTCATGCTCATTTTGCTACATAATAATATATCAGTGATTCCTGCATAATATATTGCAGCGCATAAATATATTGCAGTGTGCGGTGCATAATATATCAGTGCATAAATATATTGATGCTGTATATGATTAGACTGATTTAAAACCAGTAGTGGAATGAAATATCTGTGATGATTTTCTTCCCCTTATATTCTAGCATTTTTCTTTTTTTTCAAATGTAAGGGTTTGTAAAAGACAAATTGGCACCAAAAATGATGTATTTGAACTATAGAAATTAATCCTTACACGGAAGTTTTAATAAACTTTGGTTGGAATCTCCTTGGTTTAAATTCACAATCGTTTTAGCTAGCTCTTGCTTTTAATACATTCATTTAATTACATGTGCACATGTGTACGCTTTGAACTGAATACTGAGCAAATTGAAAATTATCTTTGCAGTAAATTGTGAATCTGAGGATCATGGTTTGGACTATGAAGAAACTGTAGCCATCTATTTTACTCAAATGGAAGGTTTTGATGCAGGTGAGTTATTTCCTTTATGTTAAGCTATTTATTTTGAATAATTGCACTATCTTTGTTCCCCAATTTTATTATCATCATTGCAAAAATTATGCTGATTCATGAAAATTTACACAGGTACAGAAATGATGAAAGCCAAGATTGAGATTGATACTGACAGGTTCCTAGTGAGTATTTGACATTGGGGAACAAGTTTTTGGAAACAAATAGAGAATATAAAGTCTTTGACCGAGAAGTTTCATGTTTTGTAATCAAATATTGATGTACATTGTTTGAATGTTAGTTCGGTACGATATTTTCTGAGTTGAAATGTTGGTAGTGTGGATTTAATACTTTGTAGTTTTTATAATATACTGATGTATCTTGGTACTTATCATTATGGTTGATTATGCTTAACATTTTCACTTTTATATTGTGTATTAAAATTTGACTTGGCCATGTTCTTAAAAAGATTGTCCAGGTAATTGAATATTATATGATTTTGACGTAGGGAACCAAGAACAACTCAATCGGAGCCGTTGCAATAGCTCAATCAAAAACGCTGCAATAGCTCGATCAAAACTGTTGTGATAGCTCAATCCAAACCGTTGCGTTAGGTTTTTTAAAACTATTGTAATAGCTATAAAAAACCGCTGCAGTAGCTTAAAAACTGTCGCAATAGCTCAAGCAAAACCGTTGCAATGGCTTAAAAACCGCTTGCTTTTTAAAACCGTTGCGTTAGATCTTTTAAAACTATTGTAATAGCTATAAAAAACCGTCGCAGTAGCTTAAAAACCGTCGCAATAGTTCAATCAAAACCGTTGCAATGGCTTAAAAATCGCTTGCCTTTTAAAACTGTTGCGTTAGATGCAGGGGCAACGGTTCAAAAAACCATCGCAATAGAGTACAAAACCGTTACGATAGAGGTAGGGCAACGGCAGCATATGAGGCGGGTTGAGAACCGCCGCACTTGCTCAAGGGTGACGGTTCCATGGCTAGCGCAACGGTTTTGAACCATTGCGTTAGAGCAAATATGTGGTAGTGTAAATATAAAAATAAAAATAAAAAACATTACCTTTTCCCTATGCTCGTGAAATTTCAATAATGTTTATTCTATTTTTGTAATAAATATTAACGGTTGTATAAAATATTTTAGGTTGAAGATGATGATGGTGAATTTTTATAGTAAGTTGGAAGAGAAAGTGATTATGAGTTGAGAATTTAAATGGGTTTGTATGAGAATTATTATGTTAATGGTGGGTTATAAAAGTATAATTTAATTCTTGATATTATTTTCGGGTTAGACATAGTGAATATTTTTTAGTGGGTCATTAATACACTACAAAGATAACTTTTCATATTATCATATTATTGATTTGAATTGTAAAGAAATAGATTTAGAAATAGATTTTTAATATCCAATATTCTAAGAAGTTGCCATGTGGTAACTATAGGGTCTTTTTTTTAGTATATAGATAGATGAGAAATTTGTGGCTATTCTAGATAATAAAAAACTAACATGTGTCATCTGAATGTGTCAAATCGGTGATATTAGAAAATAGATGTGTCATTCTACCCTATCAGTGTTAGGGATTTTACGAAGATTAATCTGCGGAACTAAACACTAAACGAATAACGGCACCAATGAAAATACCACAAGCAAGCAAACACCAAGATTTAATGTGGTTCAACAAATCGTGCCTACGTCCACGGGGCAATTCAAAAAGAAATATTTTACTATGAATCAAGAGTACAATCCCTTCAAGTTACACCTGAACTTGAGGATTAAATCACAAGAGAAAGATACAGTGTTACCTCTAGGACACCAAAACCCTAAAACTTGTCTCACCGAAAATTTCCAACACCCGCGAAGAAACCAACACCGTACCCTTGATGGCGTCGTCGTTCTGAAGACAACGACTTTTGAATCACTAAAATCGGACAACCAAGCTACCCGAAATCTCACACACACACACACACTCTCTCTCTCTCTTCTTCTCTCGGGTTACTATTCACAGTTTACTGTAGCATCAAAAAAAATTACAGGTTTCTCATGAATATAATTCCTTTATAAAGGAATTTTATTTTTAGGTCCTCCAACCTATTCCTATTACAACTAGATCCTCCAAATCCTTTTCTAGATAGAATTTTAATTCATGTAGACATCATGTGAGCCTTATATTGGGCTGGACCCACACTAATCTTCCCCTCTAGCCCAACGAGAGGGTATGCCAATCTGTAACTCCTCAACGAGAGTTCATGTAGGCCAATCGCCGACACAACTCGGTCTTCTCTCTGGAAACAGTCTTCGTTAAAAAATCTGCTGGATTTTTATCTGTGTGAATCTTCTATAACTTTAGCTCCTCTTTCTCAACGGTTTCTCTAAGACAATGATATCTCATATCAATGTGTTTCGTCCTAGAGTGAAATGTAGAATTCTTGCTCAAATCAAAAGCACTTTGACTATCAATGAAGATTTGATAATTTTCCTACTGCAAGCCTAACTCCTGCAGAAATCTTCTCAACCAAATCATCTCCTTACCGGTTTCTGCAGCTGTAATATATTCCGCCTCTATTGTAGATAAAACAACACACTTCTGCAACCTGGACTGCCAAGATACTGCTCTCCTGCAAAAGTGAACAGCCAACCTGAGGTAGACTTCATGTGATCGAGATCACCTATCATATCCGCATCTGCAAAACCATATAATACTACCTTCAAACCTCCAAAACTCAAACCCAATCTGAAACTGGCTTTCAAATATTTTAAGATCCACTTTACACCTTCCCAATGAACTTTCCCTGGATTAGAAAGAAATATGCTCATAACGCACTACCACATATTTGCTCTAACGCAACGGTTTAAAACCGTCGCATTAGCATCTAAACCGTTGCAGTTGCACAAGCGCAGCGGTTAGCAAACTGTCTTCATTGCTGCCGTTGCCCTAGCCATAAGGCAGCGGTTTCACAACCTAACGCAACGGTTTCTATGACAAGGCTAACGCAACGGTTTTCACAAAATGCAACGTTTTCTGTAGTGGTTTACTTATGCCTAATGTAGCGGTTCCATACACAAAGGCAACAGTTATTGCAAATGCAACAGTTGCAAATGCCTAATGTAGCGGTTCCATACACAAAGGCAACAGTTATTGCAAATGCAACAGTTGCAAACGATGGTTTCTTGATACCTAATTCCATACACAAAGGCAACAGTTATTGCAAATGCAACAGTTGCAAACGATGGTTTCTTGATACCTAATGACGCGGTTTCATACACAAGGGCAGCGGTTTTTCCAAAATCAGGGACCAAATGCAACATTTATTTTGTAGCTAATGTGACGTTTTAATTTGCTATGGCAACAGTTTTATAGGGCTACGGCAATAATTTTACAAGGCTATATCAGCACTTTTCAAGAAATTTGACCAATAAGCAAACATAGTTACGTAAACCAAAATAAAAATGGAATAAGAACACACTACATTAAGATATCATCAAAATGAAAAATAATGAAGCATTCATATGTTTTAAGCACATCATTCAAAAATAAGTAGTTACAATGTAACTTCAACCCATCAAAATATGATCAATTCACAACCATCAAAATATGATCAATTCAAAAGTACAAGTCTATTCCAAAAGATTCATATACCAAAGCCATCTTGACCGCATTCTCCTATTAAGTCTTTATATCCCCTACAAAAAATAAAAAAACGTATCAAATATCATGTTAGCAACAAACTGAAAAGGTAATTTTTTTAAACTAACCATTACAAGGAAAAAAAAGCTCAAGTAACATTGGTAAATAAGGAGACAATTGATCCTCAGATGGCTAACCGTAAAAAAGAATATGCATTATAAACTCAGGGTAGTGACAAAGAATATACATTATGAAACATAAAGCACATGCATTTAAAACAAAGTTCTCACCCTAGGAAACTCAAATGAAGATGTGACAATAGCATACATAGTTTCCTAAATCTGCCTCCCTTAAATGGATATATGATACTTTGCCTTTCAACAGATTCAACATTGTACTGAAAAAAGACATATAACCACTGCTGAAAATTTAGAGCAACTAACTTGATGGATTACTCAGGCAGACCTAGAACATTGATTGTGAAACAAAGAATGGATACATAAGCAACATGTTTAAAGGAATGGTTTCAGTTTCAGAGATCAGCAAAAATGATTGAACCAGATCAAATAGTTAATGTATGTGTTGGAGTGTCAGATTAATAGTTACAAGCTAGGTGGTTTTCAGGAAATGCTGATCAAATTTACAAGGTTGACAGAAAAGGATAATGAGTCACAACAGAGTAGACTTGAGCTTCCTCGTGCTTCTGGCAACTCTATGATCAGTATTTCTTTACCTTGTTGTCAGCAAACCCTTTCAAAACTAATAATTTATATCCTATCTCTATAACTTTTCTGGACTCTACCAAAATTGATTTCTTCCAGAGAAGCAACAACCTGTACAATAATCACCAGCTGTCTGCTCAGCTGCTGCATGACTTTCTTCAACCTTTTAACAGATTAAGTGTATGTCCATGCTGATAAGAAGCAAGTAAGCATCTTTCTTCCTCAGCCATCAATATGAAGTGTTTGGTAATACCCATGTTCCTTTTGTTGCATCATCATGTAATCATAATATATCTGGTTTAAATGTTAGCAGTGCTAAAAGGCAGAACAAAACATAATACTAACAGTTGCCTATCTCGTGAATCTTTTTAGCAGCATAAGGAGAAAAAATTGAGTCATTAACCTATTTGATAGATCTAATGAATTAACACCTAAGCGAATCATAGTTAGCGATCACGCTGTTGTTCTAACCATGTAACAAACATATCAAAATTCTCAAATTTAAATAATTTACTGTGCAGTTTTTTCCACTCTAATCATAGCAACATTCATCAGTTTAAACAATTTGTACAAGAAGCGTAAGGTGTACTGTAGAACTGTCACTCCTCACCATAAGCCACTGCTTGTTACGCAGGTCATAGAATTTTCTACCCTGAAATGATAGAATCAGTTGCAGCTGCAGCTTCTAAGGTACTTCGGACAGGATCTGATTCGGCAAGCTCAGCAGGTTTCTGTTAAAACCACAAGTTACACAGTCAAAAACCCAATAGTTCCAATTTAATAATGAACAATAATATATAGATCAGTAAAGTTGTCACAAAAGTGCTACTAACCATTCCATAAACATTTGTTGTCTTAGGTGAAGCCCCAGCTTGAAGAAGCAAATGCACAACATTCAAATGTTCTCCTCTTGCCGCATGATGGAGAGGCTGAACACATGAAAGGAAAAACAAACACTTAGATTGGCGAGTACTAAGTAATGACAAATTAATGAAAAATAGATCTGAAAATTTGAGGTTCTAAATATGCTACCATATCGCCTTCAGCGTCAGTGGTTTCCAGCATTCGCTTTACAAAGTCAGCATTCCCAGCCGAATTGATTATATATTGAACAATTTCAATGAATCCTGTGCATGTCAGAATAAGAAGAAACAAAAATCAGAGTCTCCAGCTGGTGTACATTTTTTCCTGATTAATATCAAAATTAATGTAAGAAGGTATAAAAGTAAGAGATACCTCCTGCACAAGCATCATGGAGAGGTATTGCACCTTCTTCATCCTTGGGCTCTAAGTTGGCTCCCCTTTCCACCAATAGCTGGGAAAGCATTAAAGAATTATCCGCTTGTTGATATGAACTGAAGTATTAAACCGAAAACAACTGCAACTAAGCATGAGATCTCCTACCTGGACACAAGGAAGGTAGCCATATAGACAGCAGAGGTGCAGAAGAGTATCACCATCTTCCACTGGGTCATTGATACTGCCATTGTGGTTATCTATAAATGAACAGAAGGTGAGTACTTGAGATCCTATATAAAGAAATAGTTTCAAAATGAGGTTCGAGTGCATATCTATGTAGACAGTAATCTAAGGATCTAATTTATCTTGAAACATTTCCTATTATTTGAATCAAACAAACAATAAACAACCAGGAAGTAGCTAAAACTTACAGTCTGAACTGTAATAGTCATAACCTATACACAATTGAATTAGGTTTTTCAGAGACAACAAAGAAGTGTGATCTTAATCGTATACAACCAATACACAATTGAATAATAAGGTGTTACAGTAGTTCATAAACAAACCATCGTCTACTAAACCCCCTACGGCAATTCCAGTCCAGCTTGAGTTTATTAAGATCATATGTTTACTTTATTATTTCGACTGTACAATTACTAACATTTGTACCCACATTTTACTGGGTTTTAAGCTGTGCGTAGTTATTCAGTTCTTCAGTGATCCTAACCGTAAAAAAGAATCAGGGTAGTGAATCTATATCCACACTCTAACCCTAACCCTAACCCTAAGCCAAGCAACGCTAGGGTTTCTAGCAAAAACAACAGGAAAATCAACCCTAGATCAAGGGCGGTGAGATCTCTAAGAACAATACTGAGAAATCGAGGGGAGTTTGTAGAACCTGAGACATGGCGATGGATCGGGGTCGAGATCTGCGGGAAAAAATTCGAGCGGGCGGGAGAGGAATCTCGAGGGGAGGGAAATATTTGGGGGAGGAGGTGCGGGGGCGGTCGGATTTTAGGGATTTTAGGGATTTCATTTGAGGGGGAGAGAGAGATTTGGTTGCGGTCAGACCGGGCTTTACAAACTCAACTCCTAAACCCATTAACAAATATTAAGCCCATGGACAATTATTTGGTCTAAGGCAACGTTTTTCATTAAATGTTGTATTAGTTACTGTTAACCGTTACGATAGATATCTAACGCAACAGTTAGAACCGTTGCGCCTTAATCGCTGCAATAGATCAATTATGTGGTAGTGACGCCAACTGCATGAGCTATATCTGGCCGAGTGCAAACTATGACATACATCAAACTACCTACATCTAAAGAGTAAGGAATATTCTCCATCTCACTCTTTTCATCATCTGTAGTCAGGCAAAACTCTTTGCTAAGCTTCAAATGACCTGCAAGAGGAATACTGACTGACTTGGCATCTTTTATGTTGAATCTATCAAGTAGCCGTTCAACATATTTCTCCTGTGATAACCACAACTTCCTAGCTTTTCTATCACGAGTAATATCCATACCAAGAATCCGCTGTACCGAGCCCAAATCCTTCATGTCAAAAGATTTAAATAACTCATTCTTCAGCCCACTGATTATCTGACTATCCTAACCAACAATCAACATATCGTCCACATAAAGCAAAAAGATAATGAAGCTAGAATCTGAAATTCTCTTGAAATATACACACGAATCTATAACTGTCCTCTGGTAGCCATGACTCAACATGAAAGAATCAAATTTTTTTTACCACTGCTTGGGTGTTTGCTTTAAACAATAGAGGCTCTTCTTCAACCTGCAAACAATGTGTTCTTTTTCTTTCACTTCAAAACCCTTCGGTTGCTCCATGTAGATCTCCTCCTCCAAATCACCATGAAGGAATATAGTCTTCACATCAAGCTGCTTAATCTCAAGGTCTAAACTAGCTGCTAACCACAAGATAACTCTAATGGACGTCATGTTCATAACCGATGAAAAAATCTCATCAAAATCAATGCTCTTTTTCTAACCAAAGCCTTTCACCACTAATCTGGTTTTGTATTTCTGAAACTCTTTGTAGCCATCCTTCTTTAAGTTGAACACCACTTATTCTTCAAAGCATTATTGCCCTTCGGTAAATCCACCAACTCATGTCACGCCCCGCTTCCCAAAATACCAAAAAATCGGAACGTGAACAAGCCCGCGACGTATTAGATTGAGAAGAAATATACACTATCAATGCACAGGTCCCCGATTATAGTTAGCAAGAATATAAAGACAACCCAAAATAAGAAATAGACATATCATCAATAGTAAATCATCCCAGACATAAAAATATGGGTCCAACATACCCTTATTACAAAACAGTCCAACTAGGAAATAGTAAATCATCCCAGACATAAAAATATGGGTCCAACATACCCTTATTACAAAACAGTCCAACTAGGAAATAAGAAATACATAGTCCATACCAACATACCCTTATTACAAAACAGTCCAACTAGGAAATAAGAAATACATAGTCCATAAAGAAAGTACTGTTCAAATACTAAATCCATCATCAACTAAAGAAAAGTACAGTAAAAGAGTTTTAATGTTCAACTACTACTACTGAAGAAAACCACTACGCTTCAGCTGGTTCTTCTACTCCTTCTGCAAGGCACCCCTGCTAAGAATCCTCTGGCTCCTGTACGATCCCGAACTGAGGCTGTCCGTCTCCCAAATCTGACGTACACCAGAGAAAACAAGTGTACGTCAGCGTGCATGACACACGACAAGATCCCACAATGGAGAAAAGAAAACGGTCGAACGACCAAGGCAAAACAGTAATAATAAATAGAAACATGCAACTGGAATACTAAAAACTAGATGAAACTCACCATTAGCATATAATAATCAAAGAATCCAAAAATCAATCGGGTGACGAGGTCATACAGCGAGCAATCAGAATAATCATCAAAGTATTAAGGTCATACACTAGATGAAATTAATACTTAAAAATCTACAACTCGAGACGTAGTACGTCGAGCGAAATAATCCAAACAAGGAAACCCTCATGTATATACCATATGTCTCAAATTGTAGATAATTAAATATTAATCTCGATCTATAAACCCTCATGTATATACCATATGTCTCAAATTGTAGATAATTAAATATTAATCTCGATCTATGTATGAAGCGAAATACAACTGACCTATATCTCACAAGAATCATACTTAGCCAAGAATTGAGGTCATGTACTAGTCATCCTATAACAGGTCACTAGATCACATCCCACACATAGTCAACGCTCATATTATCGGATAACTGACTGTTCACATATCCCCTACGTGCATCCCATCAAATAAATTCAGGAACCAAAGTAGCAACACCGATCTACTTTGATCCAACCAACCAATCCCAATGGCGACACCGATCCACTGTGACTCAACAAACCAACCCCAGTGACGACACTGATCCACTGGTGCGAGCCTAGAAGATACATCAACAGTCACATCCGATCACATGAACATTAACTCCCTCATCCCAACTCTTCTCATTTTCTAAGTCAACAATACACAGATATCTAAGTCTTGTACACGACACGCTAGGCAACTAAGGACATGAACTACTAACGGTTCTCAACAAAACAAGAAATAATAAATAAATACAACTAATTTTATGCAAATCATATGATGAACATGACTATATAAGCTAGCGATGAATCAGGTATGCATATATGACATGAATGAGTATAATTAAGAGTGTCACATGTCGGTGTCAATGTACATGAATGTCGTGTTCTACAACTATCAATCACACGGTCATAATACAAAAATAATCTTTTTCCAAAATAACTTCTTTAAAAACATTTATCATTCTAAAATAATTTCCTTCCACAACATAAATTCTAAAACTATTATAATTAATCTAAAATAATTCTGTTATCCAAAATAAATTCTTTAATTTATTATATTTGTCCTGAAAATACTATTTATTACATAATTATTATCCATTCAATATTATTCATCAAACCCACGCAAAAAATTATTAACAGATCTAAAAATTGTACGCAATAAAATAACGGAGCGAGGATCTTACTCAAAATTAATTTACAACAATATAATAATTGATACAAACTTAAATCGAGAGTCGGAATCTTGCATATACTTAATTAACAGTATATCAAAAATTGTAAAGACAAGTCAAAGGGAAGTGAGATATTGCATCGGCGCGTCGAACAAATCGACGTCGGCGGCGCGGGTCGGATCCGACGCGGTGGGCACGGCGTCGGGAAGAGCTCCGGCGAGGGGCTGCGGCGACGGGGCAGCGACGAACTCGGTCGGCGTCAGGCAGCGGGTCGG